TGGACCAGTGCCCAGTGCTTCCCTGAGCCTTTCAGGGGAGGTCACTGCTTCTAGTACTGCCACAATTAGTTATTACCCAATACCTTTCTACAAGGCTGTTCTAGCACAGCTCCTTGTAGTAGCCAATGTCTTTGGAAGTTTTCCGTTTTAGAAAGGAAGGTCTGGCCTGTGCTGGAGCTGTTCCTCTCGGGGAGGGATGATAAATGGCTGTCTTGTGTGTCCTCTGTCCCAAGGCTAAGAAGAAGCCACCACAGCTGCAGACTCCCAGAGATGTGTCTCCTGTGTTCCGTTCCTTTCTGAAGTCTTGCCTGACCCAGAAGGGGAAGCGTCGATGGACAGCCAGTCAGCTGCTGAAGGTAAAGTGGCTGCAGGTGAAACAGCTGTCCAGGGATGGGTTTTCTCATCAGCTAAATTCAGAGGCAGCAGGTGGCCTCCCCTCCTGTTGAAGGTGAACAATGGCATTATGGGCCATGTTTGCCTGTGATAGCAAGGTCCTGGACATGCAGTTGGAGGTGTAGATGGGCCCTCAGTCGTCCTGATGATTTGTACTGCTGGTAACCAGAGGAATCCCACTGCAACCTGTGAGAAACTGCTTTTGGATAGTAATGGCTCCTTTCTTTCTTTTTTCTTCCCTTTGTCTGCAGCATCATTTTTTGGAAAAATCCAAGAGTCTTGCTGAGCTGGCTCCTCTGGTTGATGCAGCCAGGAGACCCACAACACCAGCACCAGAACCTCTGCTGGCTCCTTCTGTTTCTGGACAAGAGTGTAAAGAAGAGCAAGGAAAGAAGGAAGTCCAAGCAAAGCCTGAAGGAAAGAAATCAGTAAGTGCCAGATTAGATTAACAGTGCCTTGGGTGTCATTCAGAGCTGCAAATTCCTGAGCAGACAGTGCTTGCTCTTTGGGACTGAAGATTGTGAGGGCTGGAGGCCTGCCATGACACGGTGCTTCAGCCCAGCCACTGACACCTGCAAAAGGGGCTTTGAGCTTCCAAGTTTAGTCAGAGTGTCCCTTGCAGGACACATAGGAATAACTATGTTATTAGGAATAACTATTCCTAAATACATAGGAATAACTGTGTCCCCTGGGGGTACTTGCCCCTCTGCACAGCCTAGTTCAGAAAATCCATGAAAATTGAACAAGAATTTGGCCGGGGCTCAAATTAGCCTTTTCTTATTGTGTGTAACTATCTAAGGACTCAAGGCACAGAATAGGAACTGTCACTGACATGACTGACTGTTCCCAGGGCACAAAAGTGGCACCAGAACCTCTTCTGGCTCCCTCTCTTCCTGGACAAGAGGGTGAAGAAGAGGAAGTGGACAATGAAGCTGCAGCTGTTGTTGGAGTAGAGCAGCCTGAAGGAATTAAATCAGTAAGTGCCCAGCCACTGACACCTGGAAAAGGGACTTTGAGCTTCCAAGTTTATTTAGAGTGTCCCTTGCAGAACACATATAACTGTCCCTGGGGTACTTGCCCCTCTACACGGTCTAATTCAGAAAATCCATGAAAATTGAACAGGAAACTCCCCATGAACTCATGTACATCCAGTCTTTTGGCCTCATCCATTCCATTTGTGAAGTGGGCAGCAAAAGACAGTTCAAGAGCCCGACATGTGGCCAACAGCATCTTCCCAAGGGTTTGCATTTGAAAGATGATCTCAGGGCATCTCTGGAAACCACCTCTCTGATATAAACTAATTCTTGTCACAGATCCTCCAGAGCTCTGCAAGGGAAGGTGCTGCTGTGGCTCCACAACTTGAAGAAGTCTCCTTTCCCAACGCTGAAATGCCAAGCACAAGCACCGGGAAAGGAGACACTGGGAAGAAAAGCATTGCCAAGAAAGTCACGGACCAGCCACCACCGATGTCCCCACTAACAAGACTTTACCTCGCTGATCTCAGTAAGTATCATGTATTTCTGTCTGATAGAGCAGTCCATGGTATGCATGCCAGATTTAGCTCTACTAAAGGAACAGAAGAAGCAAGAGAGCACTCTGGCTATTCCTTCTGCCTCTGAGGGCAGCTGGGACTGGATTCAGTTTTCCTCAGCTTCCATCTACGCTCAAGGCAAAGGCAGAGATTGTTTGTGGTAGAGCACAAGGCTTTGACCTAGTGAATGACCTGGAGAAGTCCTGTGTGCAGAGGCCCAAACCCAACAGAATATTAGGGTTCTGAAATTCTCTTTAGACTCCTGA